AGGTTAGTACGGGAACCCACTCGTGCAGAACTTTGCAGTCCGTACATACCCCTCGACATCCTTGACAACCGAGAAGAGGCAAGGCGACAGAGACTCGCCGAGGTCATGCGGTATCTGGAGAGAGAAGCAGAAAGAGGAGAAGGTGGATCTCGCGCACACGCATATCCAGAACGTGTTGCTCACCAAAGTGATCAGGCATCCAACACCATGTACCACGACCAAGGTTCAGAACCTTCACAAGCTCCTACAGCACACGTTGCTGTCAATCACATTCAGACGCAAAGGGAACAAGGTAAATGTTCCTCGCACGCCGCACACTTTGGGTACACTGGTACTCACACGAATGCTGTTCCTCCAACAGCACAATCTCAAGCCATTCCAAACGTCCTCCCTCATGTACCGATCTTGCCACCTCCTCCTCCACACGTCCCAAGTTTCGCGTTGTTCCAAGCCTGTACTGTCGCCTCAGCAGACCATTCAGTCGACAGCTCCGAAGACAACGGACGTACTTTGCCCCAACGACGGCGACGACGTATCCGAATCTCTGTAAACCAAGAGCGACGGGAGTTAACACTGCCCAGAACGTCAGAAGAGAAGACACACCTTGTGGATTTGTTCCGTGAAGAGATCCTACACAACTTCGTTAACCTTCGGCAGCCCATCCGTGTATCCGCGCACGCTATTCGTATGGCAGAAGTAAAACAAGCAATCCTCAACGACGGGATGCTGGGCAACAAACCGTACCTGTTGATGGCCAACATTACCAGACACGACTGGCACAAGAAGAACGGCACTTGCGTCTATACGGTCAATCTAAAGAACGGTCCGAAGAAAGGATCAGCCGAATATCTTGCGGAACACTACACAGGGGTTGAACATACCTTGTGGGAGTACTGGGGCTTGCGAAAGTCAATCCGCCCTCACCATGTACGAAGGTACATCAACGCTTATGATCCGCAAGGTTTCTATCAGGCAATGATGTATCAGCACTTGCCAACCCGAGAATGGATCGGTCTATGGCGACGGCTTCGAGACTCGGGTCGAGTCTGATTGGAGCGGAGCGTACTGTTATGATATGCGCTTCTCTTTTATTTCGCGCCAACTTAATATCTCCAACTCTCGCCAATTCTTTGTCAGCCCACTTTTGACTTGTAATTATTCGCTCGATGAATAGTTGACCGACAACTTGTTCAACTATTCGACCAACCTTGCGCCGAGACACTGATCAACTAGACGATCAACTAGTCAACCAGCTTCGACTATAACTGTAACTATGGTGGCAAATCCTCTTTCCTTAGAGTACAAATAACTATAAATACCAGCCTTTCTGGCTGTGAGTTGTATTCGCCACTAGACTTATGAGACACGCAAAATAGTACTTAATATTCAATGCTATCTTACCTTCAACTTCAATAAGGACTAGCTACCCCATTGGACTTAGAGAAGTAGGATCGTGACTGGCAGTCAACAAGACAGGTGAGTATTAAATACCAACTGTGTAGTATCGGAAAACTGGTAGATTACTTCTAAGTTACGCGTATTCCATTTTGGAATTCGTATGACGTATAATATTTGGTACTTAGTATACAAATATTAATAAGTCATATTAGCGCAACTTAGCTAAGATAGCTAGAAGGCGTAGCACTCTACACAGATGTCGAAAACTCAATTCAACCGCCTCCTTCAAGATCTTGTGGAAGCGTCAGGACTCGCTGCTCAGGAACCGCGGGCCAACTTCACCGCTCACTGTCTGCGACGAGGCTCAGCTATGTATCGGTGCAACTACGCCCAGATACGCTGGTGGGCACAAGAACTGTTGGAATGGGGTGGATGGACTGCCGGAGAAGATGTGAGTAGTTCTTCCAGTTGAACAAGAAAGTACCCTTACTAGCTGGTGAACTAGGGCAGTCTACAGTTTTCATCAAGTACGTCGTCGATCACCAAATAAAGGACGCGAACTCGTTGCTGTGGCTCGATCATCCGGAGAGAGACAACGGTCAACCGAAGGCCGAAATCTCCGACAATCAGTTTCAACACTTGCTCTTGCAACAGCAGCAACAACACGCAACTCAGATGCTCAGGTCGCGTGAATTTAGCAACAAGTTACAACTTCAGGTCGACGCGGTAAGTAATTCACTCTCACTTTCTTACCGGAGAAGGAGAATGCTAACGGGTTACTTTTGTCAATTTACTAGCTACAAGTTAGCCTAAGCGAAAGCTTCCGTGTCGTAGGGCATATGACTACGCAAATGTACGCCTTGATGTCGCCTGATCGTTCCTTACCTCCTGGGCGCATGCTTGTCCAGAATGCGGGAACAAGAATACAGTTGCAGTGGGTATTTCCATTCCTGCATGATGTCACCAATTCTTATCTAAGTTTCCTCTACAGGACATTCCCTCAGCGCGAACAAATACAGAACGCTATCAGCCCAAGGAAACGCCTCTATGACATCACTCGGCTCGTTGTCTGCACCTCCATCTACAACTCCGCCTATAGCATCCTCTCTCCCTCCTCGATCACCAACGCTCCGTTACTGTCGCGCGCCGCTTGGGGCTATCGAATGCCCGCTGAGTATACCCATGGCATCAACTCCCGAGCAACTGATAAAACAATGGTTCTGTGGCTTCGTCACGCATCCCCTCTCTGGATCGCATCCTCAGCATCCCTATCCCCTTCGCGAATGGCCTCAAGAATGGCTTACTGGACGCAAGGGCTCAATTCCTGTAACTTGGAGCAACCGGCGACACGTGGGGCATGCCTATGAGGACATGATGTTTGGAGGTGAGATGGACAAAGGAGCGGAGTATAATGAAGAGGGCATGTGTAAGTTTCGGCAGAAGTTTCCGCAGAAATCTTGCAGCGAGGTGCTGGCTGCGGTGAAGGAGTGTGGAAAGGAGGCAGGAAAAATCAAGTCTCGAAATGGGAAGCGCAAAACCCCGCCGTCGGTAAGTAGAAAACGTTTCTTTGAGGCAGACCTCTTGAGTGACTGCATTGCTATCCTGTGCTGGGCTGCAGGCCTGAGGGAAACAAGTGCCACCCCGGGTTTCAGGGTTTCAGGGTTCGGAGACAGGATAGAGGAATGCCACGGTGAGTGAGTTCCAGGAACTTCCAGTATATCCGTCTCCCCTTGTCCACAAACTCAGATGCCCGCCCTTTGCGTCAGGTACGATAGGTTGTACCCAAGCCATGAGCGTCATCAGCCTCCCAGCCCCACTCATCGCGCCTATCGATGTCGGTGCGCATCGAGATGTTTCTTGTCCGCCAATGACAGAGCCGCGGTACGGTGGTTTTTGCGTGGCAAGATCTATAGTCGACAGAGTACTAATGTAGCCAGACTAATTATTGATAGCATTCCTGTTAGAGCATCCCCATCCGCGACTATTCGGTAACCCATGACCGTCTAGCGTTTAGAACAGCGCTCATGAGTAGCTTTTCGACTCGCATTTGGCGGGCATGTTATAAAGCAGTTTTCGTGTTCGTATCCGTGATAGACGTGTTTGTGCTATAGCCACAACTACAATCCATGGCACTGCGTGTAGACTCCATCGATGCCCAACCTTTCAGTGTCCGGGTCCTAGTTTGCGTTGGTGACAACGGTCAGTACTTTATATAATGAGGCGCACACGAAATACAGGTGGTAAGTTGCTGTTTTTATGTGGGTTAGTAACGGTAGAACAGAGGATTGTACCTCAGCTATAGGGACGACCGATAGCTCTCAGTGTAGAGGTCATCACAGCTCAGCTTTTCAGTATCCTACAACCTCTGTCCACTCCATAGACGACTGATCCTTTCAGATCTCAAGTGGCAAATGGAGCCTCACATTCCCACGTAAAACCGAATGCGTCAAAGCAGGCAAGCAGGTACTCTGATTCGGGGCAGGCTGGTAGCTATTCATTCGTATAGAACTTAGGAATGGAGGAATCTGTACATGATTCGCGATTAGCAGGACGGTCGTGAGGCTCTACCATAGATGGTGCAACGCTCGGATAGCTTGGCGAACGTCGCGACTAAGTCAGGTTCAGGTCACCAACGCTCTCATAAGAGCCTCTCATATGGTACGGTAGCTGGTAAAGTACTAGTTCAGACGCCAATGGGGAGGAAATGGGAAATGGCACTGGCGCTGCACTGGCGGTACGTTCCGGTGGATAGCCGTAGGCTCTGTTCTAAGAGCCGATGCAACGCCGTTAGCGTGTTCCTAGGTTAAACTGAGGCGCCGGAAGTGGGAATGGAAGTCGGATTTTGACCGGGAAAATTCTTCCCAAAACTTCCCCTTAAATCAGTTTAACTTCCAGAGCGCCCCGCCTTCAGCCCGCTCCGCGAAATTTATCGTTTCTTAAATTATGGAGAAGAAGCCCAGGTTGTAATATTCGCTGAATCTTTGCGCTTTGCGCGACGTCCATTTACAATCGTTCTGGACGCACCTTTCAATTTGTACATCAATGTCAACATTACACATCAATGTGCAAATTGATGTGCACATCGATTTCAACATCGCTATAGCTTCGCCCTACCTATGCAGACTAGCCTATTGTCTACTCTGCTCACGTGATGTCTCCTTGAGGCAGGGAAAAGGTATATAAGTAGCTCGGTCCTCAGTTGTAATTCCTTTTCTCTATGAACTTGTAATTCACCCTTTACTTGATCAACTTTCGCTCGCTTGCCCAACAAGCTCTCGACTTCGAGCTAACCTGAGGACTAGCTACCCTTAAGTAGTTGACGTAACTCCTTCCTTAGAACGCTGATTGTCATTAAATACCAACGTAGACAGGAATCCTAAATATTACACGTAGATCTTAGAACTTTAGCTCCCGCTTTAGCTCAAACTGATTTTGGCTGTGACACAGGTGCAGTTCCCCAGCGATGCCCGAAGAACCCCCTGGGTGCGCCCGCGTGCCCGCCTTGAACCTCACGTGCCCGCCTTGAACCTCAGGCTTCAACATCGTTTCTTGTCCCGTGAGCATACCGATACAGATTGAAGACTGCGTGAGGATCACCAGTATCCTCTTTGGCCAAGGGGTAAGGCATTCCACTCGTAATGCGATGGAAAGATCACCCGTTCGATTCGGGTAAGAGGAACTTCTTTTTGTGTTTCTTTTTGTATTTCTTTTTTTCCGCTTTTTCCCCACTTACACCCATCTCGCCTTCCTTCCTTCCGCGCTCTCCCCTCCCCGCCAACTTGATACACCGCCATTTCCTATGGCATGTCAGTCCACTCGAATTCATATTCTTGATACGATCATACAAACAAAGATTCTTTTCGTAAACAGTCGTGATGATAGATTGTGGAGAAGCCCTAAATGCCCGAAAACGATCTATAGTAGCTTGTTCAAAGAGCCAGCGTCGATACTGCAGCTCCGTCCCGTTGTGTCTCTAGTAAAAGCCCGTCGGTTGAGGAGGCATCATCATACCACCATGCATTCCATTACCCATCGGCATGCCCGTGCCCTGCGTGAGCATCAACCGGGAACCAAAGCCAGCGCCCATCATGGGCTGGGAGTCTTCCTGCTCTTCCTTGTTCACAGACTTGGTTTGCAGTTCTTTGAGTTGCTTTTCCAAAGCGGCCAACTATGAACGAGACCTGGTTAGCAACGCCCGGAGCGTGCGACAGTGTATGGCATACCTTGTTGAGCTGGTCTCGTTGCACTTGAAGAGTATAAGGGAACGCGAAGTCGTTCAGGCCATGCCGCCATGACTGAGTAAAGTTATATGAGCATAGCGTCCGTCTGCAGGATGAAAGAAAGCTCACCAGCTCGGCAACGACATCCGGTCGCAACAGGTCAAAACAGACGTAAAGAGTAGCAGCAAAGCAGTCCTTGTTGCCAATGTCAACAAAGTACGACAGCAACTCTTCGGCGGCAGAGACCTCTCCCGAAACAGCAGCAGTGACCATAGCATCCTTGAAAAGCTTGTCTTGTTTGGACAAGGCAATAGAGTCTTCCCATCGTGAGTTTTTCTGTTCCAACATGGCGTCAGCAAGTATATGCGTTGTGATACTCGAGCAACTCACCTTGTACAAGTGCGCTGCCAATCTTCTGAATTCCAGCAGTTCATGCTTTTCCAAGCGAGATGCCAACTTCAAATTATCAAAGTTGTCAAAGTTGTCGATAGAGTCTCGCAAAGTCTTGTAATCTTCCTCCTCGATGAGCAGGTCATTGTAGGCATCGTTGACGGCTTCGATGTTGTGTTGCTGAACAGAAATGAGATACGACTTAATGAGCGGAACATTGTCGTTGTCGTCACTCTGGAACATGCGGACAACCCGGGTATGATCGATCCTCGGTGTCAACACAGTCAAAAGGTCGGTCAACAAAGTCGGCTGTTGTTGCAAGTAAAAGTTGAGCGCCTTGTAGTAGATCTCGACATTGGCGACCTTGACAACAACATCCTTGAACTGCTTGTGCTCCCAAGCGTCGGCCGATCGTTCCATCATAGCGAGAGCCGCATTGTCGTATTCATCGTACTTGACGTACAAGAAGACAAGCTCGGGCCACAAGTGAGCCTGCTCGGCGGCTCGAATGACCTTGGGAATGTTGATTCGACCATAGAAGAGTTTCAGATGCTCCATCACTACATGTGGTCATTCATTGTCAGCCCCGCTCGCCAGCTGAAATCATGCTGCCACTTACGTCGTTCCGGTCGGTACTTTGCGTAAAGAACACTCAATTCAGCTATGGAGATGTCAATTAGCACCTTGATATCAGCAGCTAAAATGCTACCACTTACTGAACATTCCCATGTGTGCCCGTTCAAGTCCCAGACCAGCTTCCAAGAGAGAAATGACTTCATCAAAGTAACCGTTTCTCTCGTAAAGCCTGAGAAGTGACTGAAGCTCCTCCGCGTGGACAATCAAATTGAGACCGCAAATCTGTGCCAAACGGAATTCCTTCTTGTCGACACAAGCAGCGTTCACCTGCTTCCATACCTGAGTGTTCCCAGCCTTTCGTGCGGCATCAACTGCAGCCTGGTTTTCGCCAAGGTAGATAAGAGTAGTAGCCAATCGAGCCCAGTTGGATATACTGGAGAACAGGATCTTGGCGGCGTCGTAAAGTCCGTCTCCGAAACATTTTTCGCCAACCTGAAGGATATCGGCAACATTCGTCATGGACAAGAATTCTTCCATATCGTGAAGTCGATCAGTTTTGGCGTATGCATATGCCAATTCGGTGTCGATCGAGGGTTCACGGGCAGTCTTTCGAGCCATTTGCAGGTATCGTACCAAGTCATCGTGCTTTCCTGCCCGGTTAGCGATTTCAATGACTTCTGCATAGTTGAGCGGATCCTCGGCCTTGATGTAAGAGTCTAGAAGGAAAAGGCAGTCAGTAACCTCTTGGCACGTGCCGACAAGCGTGGAGACACCTACCGATAGCATCCTTTACCCGCAGGCCGTCCAATTGCGCCTTGGCCAGTCGACTCCAAACTTCGGGCCGGTTGATCTTGTTCGCGAACTGGTAGCCACGGTCGATCGAAACGATGTGCTCCACGAGAACGTTCATAGCTTCAGCCCATTGTTCATGCTTCGAGTAGATCGTGAATGCCTCCTCGTACAGGCCGTTCTCGATTGCAATCCTTGCGATCTCGTTTGAATCGTAAGCAGTAAGCTTGTTGATGTAACCGATGACCTTGCCCTTGTCGGACCTGATCGCGGTAAGCATGAGCAAGTTCTGCAAAGCTTTGTTATCACTGAAAGGTGAGGGTTCGATGATGATTTTTTCTAGCAATTCGATCAGTTGAACAGGAAGGTCATTCTGCATGAAAGCCTTGACGGTAACGGATACGTCATCAGCGTCGGTGCTTTCGGGGACTGCAGTAGCAACGACTTGATCAACTAGCGCTCGACGATGAATGCTGTCGGGCTGCAGGACCTGACTCCAGAGTTCAAGATCGCGTCGCTTGACCAAGTACCTGGCTTGATGCTTGTACATTTGGTTTTCGTTGGTGATGTTGATGAGCTCATCATCGCACAAACCCTTGGCGTAGGCAATATACGCCAGATACGGGTCTCGCTTTTCACAGTATTTACCCACAACCAAAGGTTCATAGATCTAGTACCAGAAAGTCGACGAGTGAGTAAGCAGCGTCAACTTTGAAGGTCGGAATACTCACATTGTTCTCCTTCAAGAAGGCCTCGGGGTTGTTGTTCGAATCGATGGCGATCTTGGCAACGGCATTATAGATTGCTGGATCGGTTTGACCCTGTTGGATTCTGCTCTCCAACCAAGGCAGGATCAACTTCAGCCTGTTCCTCTTCTCGACTTCGTCTACTAGTTCGTCAATCGGGAAAACCCCGGTAACAGAGTTGAGTAGGTTCTTGATGAATTGCTCGTCACAATCGACATCGAGCAGACCACCAACAACCTGAGGAGTTCGAGCAGAGTTGACTTGCTGCACGTAAACTTCGATGAAACTCTGGAGAGAGTTCTGATACAGGTAGAGGACGAGATCGTGAACAAAGTCGAAGCGGTCGCACACAATGATGAGCGGCAGTTGATCGGCAAGTTTGGCTTCTTTGAGGAAGTTTTTGACCTTTTCCGGGTTGTAATAGTTACTTTCCCGACAGATTCTCTCGACCTCTCGGATCTGACCTGTTCGGGTTGCAGCTTGGATGTACTTGAAATGTACCTCGGGGTCCTGGCTGAGGTTGACAACAGACCCGAGGTAGTAGTACAAGCCTTCAAAGCTCTTGAAGCTTTCAAACATTTCGATGATCTTTACAGGACCGAGCAAGTCTGAATACTTGGTTGCGATCTGGACGACGACTTGGATGTTCTGACGCATGTTGACCTTGAGCATTTCGTTGAGGCAAGCCAAAGACTGTTCAACGGTGAGTTTGCCAAAGTAGTTGACTAGCCACTCGACGTTGAACAAGTTGGTGTGAACGACGACTCGCTTGATATCGTTGAGATCCTCGTAGTGCTCCAATGCGCGCTGGAGGAGTCCAGCCTTTTCGCACAAGTTGGCAATCCTGGGCCGATCGTAGTGGGTGAACATTTCGTTTCCAAGAATGGCGTCAGCGACCTGAGGAGCTTGCAAGAGATTCATCTCTAACAATCGGGTCTGGAGGGGCCCATCCTCTGGCTTGTTGTCTTTGAGAGCATCCAGCAAGAACGATGTAGTTTGCTGAACCAAGTTTTGCGACATGAAAATATCGACGACACGGTTAATATCGATTTGCGGGCCGGATGGGTCATTGATGAGTTGTTGAGCAAGTTCGGCCGACTTGTCGGGGTTGACCCGGACGATGTGCTGGAGCAAGACCGCCCAGTCAGGTCGGTAATCAACCTTTTTCGAGTAGAGCAAGATCTTGTCGAATTGACCTGCTTCTGCGAAACAGGCGACGACCTTGTTGGGCACATGTGCGCGGAGGTAGATGGACAACGCGAGATTGTTGTCTCCGTGACCCTTGACGAGGTCACCCAGCTCTTCACTGCAATCCAGCTTGTTTTCTTTGAGCCACTTTTCGAGCAAATCCTTCTTGTTCTGCAATAGAACAGGTCGGGCGAGTTCCATGGTTTCGTGCTTGTTCAAGTCTCCTTTCTCTAGCAAAATACCAAAGTATTGCAGAATCGGGCTAAGTGTTCCGGGCGCAACCGGAACGTGCTTGAATTTTTCTATGGTAGCAGGCGTACGAAGAATGCCTCGAGGCGAACTGGCCGCGATTTTGGCGGCATCGCCGAATTGGCCGGACTGGAATAATTGATTGAACTGACTGACGTAGAGATCGTCTGCTCCAGGCAGATTAGCTCGGGATGCCAATCGGATAGCCAAAGGCGCGTTCTTGAGCTGGCTCATAACGTAGGGAACAACGTTGTTTTCGTCCAAGCTGACACTCAGGATCTGACCCTTCTTGTTGACACCCAAGATACCGCCGGTCTGCTCGTATTCCGCAGTGGCGAAGATGGTGTCACCGCTGATTCGGTTCATGTAGAGGCAGGTTGCACTTTCGAGGTCGTACAGGTGGATGAATCCGTACTTGGTAACCATGTAAATGATACCGTGCTTTTTCGAGATTTGCATGGCGACAGGGAAATCGTTGACGGCCTCGGGAGGGAAGAAGATGTCGGTAGCCTTTTTCTGGA